ACACTAACTCTACAGGAGACTTGGCAGCAGAGGCCAAATGGGCAGGTAGAGGTGCCAGGTGCTGAGGCGGCTTACTGATTTGGCAAGGAAAAATGTAGTTTTGAGGATGCAGAGTTTGACCATGAGCTTCAGAGGGCTGAGGGAGTTAAGCATGCTTCACGGGTAGGATGATGGCAAAGGCACGCAGTGAGAGACAGGGTGTAGAGTGACCAAGAGGAGAGCTACCCAGATCCAGAACCTGGAAGGCCAGACTTAGGATTTGGTGCTGCTGGAAGTATGGCTCCAGTCCAAGGCTTCACAGCTGGCAGATGTGGCAGAGTCATGACTGGAACCCAGGGCCCTTCTTTCTCACACTGAGGTGTGTCTGTGCCTCCAAATGGTGTTGAACAGGACATGACTGGGAGCTTAGAGGGATCTCTGGGGGAGGAAGTGGCGGAGGGGTGGTCTCCCGTTACCTACCTTCAACTCTTGCACAGAGAGCTCATGGCCCAGCTCCCTAGAGCTGTTAATGATCAGGTGCAGGGCATCACCTGTCTCTGCTGCCTGTTCCTCATGAAGCTTCTCAGCAATGGCCTCATCCAGGTGCTGATACAACTGGTCCCTGGCCCGGATGCCCTGATGTACATACAGGGAGAGAGGGCAGATGGGGTGGGAAGGGTCAAGGGTCAGGCTTGGCTACCTAGATTCACCTAGATCCTGATGTTAGTCTCAGCTTAGCTACACACCTAGCCTGTGGTAGGCACGGCTCAGTAAGTGGTCACAGATTTGTCCACTGTCTACAAACATTACTCTGTCTTGATAATCATCACCAGCCTCCTCTGGCAAGGCAGTTAATGTCATCCAGAGGTCAGAACACAAAGCACTGAGGAGTCAAACATTTGTTCCCTCACACAGCGGCCAGTGCCCATACCTGGTACAGAACCATCAAGGTGCATTTAGCCATTACCCTTTTCTTGAACTCAGGTAAGGCAGTGAGCATCGGTGATAAGAAAAAGGGGCACCTGGAAAACTCCACTGAGGACACTATTGTATGTTCTAAACGTTAACTTCTGTTAGGGGTTTGGGCCAAGTGGGCAGGGATGGCTCTCCAGAGTTCAGGAAGCAAGCCCAGCCAAAACAAAAAAACAAAATGCCACCGCGGAAGCGTTGAAAGCGAACACTTGAGTTTTGTAGCCAGAAGCATCTTGTTCACATCTTGACTGCGTTCTTGCTTGTCTCATGACTTCAAGCAGGCCTGCTTGTTAATAAATGAGAATAACACTTTGCAGGTTGCAAGGACTAAACCAGAAAATGTATGCAAGGTGACCAGCACACAACAAGATTCTTTTTCAGATTATTATTTTTATTCAAGCAACTGAACGCTCTAGGGCAGAGGGAGAGAGAAGGCAGGACTAAGATTCCTTTAGCTCTAGGGCCCCGCCCATCACTCAGAAAAGGCCTCGCTTCTTTGATCCGGAAACCAGCCGGCCGAGGGTGGCAGGGTGGCGGGCCGGGAGCCGACACCCTTCTACACTACATCCTAGACTAGATCTGGCGCCGGGTTTCGTCTGTTCCCCGAGCTTCCGCAGCACCAACCTTCCAAAGGGTGTTGGAGACTCCGCGCCACTTTGAGGAAGGATGAGCCGACTGCGGAGATGCCTGCCACTAAGACCCAAACTCAAGAAGGCTACACTGGAGTGAGAGCGTGAGTCAGAAGCATCCCATAGACCACGTGTGGCCTACCCCGTGTCATACAGAGTGCGAAAAGATGCAGCCCTGGTCTCCACCAACCAGCACCCCACCGTATGCTGGGCCACACACTCTCGGTCCAGGGTAACCTGTCTGATTTGGGAGACCCTCTGGAGCTATGGGCTAAGGTTTGGGGCAGCATTACCTTGCGCAGGCCGCTGAAGGGCACATCCAAGGGCAGTGAGAAGAGGTTCTCCACCAGCTGCTCAAAGGTCTGGGCTAGCTCGGTGCATCGCGCTTCGTCCAGCTGCAGACCCAGGAGAATGCGCGCGGCCATGCGAAAGGTGAGCGCTTTGGCTGCCCCGTAGACAGCTACTGGTCCCCGGGCGGCGCACCAGGAGCGCACCTCTCGCCGCAGCGCCCCCTGCAGTCGTGGCACGAATTGCTCCAGAGCCGGGCGACTGAACACGCGCGCCAGAACCTGCAGGGAGCGCAGATGAGCGCGGGGCAGGCTGGCCTCTTGTGCTCAGCGACTCCGCAGCCTAAAGGCAAAGACCAGTCCCTTCTACCTCTTCTGAGCCGCACAGGCCTAAACTTGCTGGCTTGGTTCCCTCCACTTTGATGTATGGAGTCCCTCCCATCCATCTAGGCTCCAAATGTTAGCTGCTCCACAAAGTCTTCCCCCGAACCCTCTTAAATCTGAATCCCCAAAGCTGCTAACACCTGTCACAGAAGATCTGGAATAAAGGACGTGTAGCCCTGCTCTGGCTTTACAATCCAAAACCTGGAAATGTAATGAGACTTGCCTCGGGCCACCTGTTCCTTTAGCGGGGCCCCTGGTCAAGTTCTGAATATACCGAACACACCAGGCTCTGGCCTGGCTCACCGCAGGAACCCAGGCACCATGGATCTTAAGTTCCTTTGCTTTTCCCCTCACCTTACGCCGCTGCCGATGGGGCTCGCCAACCGCGCCGAGGAGTGTATGTGAACCTAGCAGAATGTGCGCGCTCTGCGGCCACTGGCTACGCACCAGGCGGTGCTCTCCCAGCAAGATGGTGCGCACGTTCTCTGCGCCGCTCACGCGGATCACTGGCTTGCCGAGAAGGTGCGTCTTAAATACTGTTCCGTAGCGCTCCCGGCGTGAACTGTGGAAACGAGAGCCCTGCAAGCAAGGCGGAGCTCAAAGGGCCTCTGGGCCAGCAAGGCTGAAGATCTGTCGCAGATATTCCAACTACCTCTTCCTAACAACTCCCCTGTCCCCGGCTGTCACATTAGTTACAAAACAAGGTTCCAAATGGGCCTCTCAGGTACTCTACGTAGACACCCACAGGAAAAGTGAGAGAGAGACTTAGATTGCCCAAGGGTACGCGGCTGAGATGTGCTTGGTTTTTCAGTTCCTGCTTGCAAGACGGTAGGTACCTCGTTCCTCAAATCCCCCCCCCCCCAAGCCCCTTGTTTACACCTATGTTTTATCAGAAGGGTTTAAAATGTGCTTATAACTTCGGTGACAAGGGGGTCTCTTAGCGTAGCCAGACAATTGCGAGGGTTTCAGTAACCCCTAGAATCCTGGGCAAGGGAATGCTTAAGAAGAGCGCTGAGAACCAAGAGCGTCCGATGAGAGATGCAGAAAAGGGGGCATTGCTGAATGATAAAACTACTCACCTGAACCAACCAGTGCAGCGTTTCACCGAAGAATGGCCAGCCCATGGAGCCCTTGGGTAGGGGCAAGGCAGAGGCCCGATCCCGGCTCAGAGTCCAGCGGAGGGTCCAGAGGTGTTGCGCCAGGCCAAGCAGCAGACCGGCACACAGGAGAGCGGTGCCCGCAGCCCCCAGCATGGACAAACAGCTCAACCCCCAAGAAAACATGGCGAGCCTGCAGGGGGGCTAGGGGAGGGCTAGGTCGTTGGGAAGGCAGAGGGCTCAAGAACTATGCAGAGCTCACCTGTCCAGTCCAGAAACGTCCCGGGGTTAGGGACCAAGCTGCAGATTAATACATTCAGACAAGACTTCCGCTCTTAAAACAAGACTGTCAGTGGAAGGCGGCGGTGACCCTGAGCACTTAAGAGAATTCGCTTTCTCAAGGCTGGAGGCCCAGGACATTTCCCCCATTTCAGTCAAAAAGTGCCAGCCCCTTCATGGTGGACCGGTTTGCCTCCGGAATGCCCCTACATTCTCAGATCAGCGCTCCTAGTGTAGAAACTGCGAGCAAGGTTGAAAACTCACCGCCGACCACTGTTAGGATTCCCGGGGCTGCAGACCCCTGCCCACCACCTTCTCTCCTCCACTCGGTTAACCCTTCTCCGCCTACCCTCCACACGTTTATATAGATACTGCCTCCCTCCCTAGGGACTGGTCCTGGGTCAAACAAAGTGACGTGTCTACGCATATTTAAAGGATCCCACTCAGAGTAATGATTGGAAGCAGTGGGCAGTGGCGGGCTCATCTCGCGATCCAAACAGGGAGTGGCATCTGGGCAGGGGCTGTGCCCCATGCGCATCCCCGTGGTTTCGCACTGTAACTTCCACACTCCTGGTGCGAGCGTGAGCACAGCCAGCGCGAGAAGCCTACAAGAAGTAGACACTCTGGAAGCCAGGCCATGCTCTTGACCCACCTGTCCCAAGCCATTAGCTTCCTCTCTGGTCCCCCACCCTCGAGCTTGAGAACCCTGGGGTTGCTTCCCTTTGCTTGGTCTCTTTCAGGGAAAGCGGGTTGTGAGGCCAGCGCCAGCGTTCCAGAGGGATAGCTGGGGCTCAGTTCTCTGACCCTCTGCTGGCCCCAAGTTCTTCACTCAGCCATTTCAGGGAGCCTTCAGGAGATGGTAATTTCACTGCCCCTAAAATTCACAGGGGCGCCCAAAGTCCTCCAGAAGCCATTTATCCTGGCACAGCTCTGGTCTCAGGACCAAACCAAATTCTAGCTTCTTTTCAATTGCACTGCCCATCTCCGGAGTCTGCCAGACCCCGCCCCCTCCCCCGGGCTGACAGCTTGCTTCTTGAGCTTTGCTCCCAAGGGATATGGAAGTTCCTCTTTCCAAATCCCCAGAATCCGGGGCCAAAGCCAGGAGTCTTTCCCAAGTACCCAGAAAGTGAGGGGCAATCACGTTCCAACATCTTCAGAGCTCCTGCTCACCATACCTAACTAAAGCATAGAATGCACTGTGTCTGAAGAATTACCCTACTTTCTGTAATAATTTTAAAATGTTAAATACTCTGAGTATTTTGTCAAGAGAACAAATATGTTTTGTTTTGTGTCACGCCCATTCTGATAATCAGGAAATAATAGGCCTTTTCTGGAGGAGGCTGTTTTAAGTGAGAAGCTCTGAATAGTTGACATAGACTCTTCAACAACTCAACCTTTTTAATGTTTTATCACAAAGTCCAGACATGTAAGCACAGCTCTTCATACTTATTTTACAGAGTCAGGTAGTCTACAAGCAAAAATCTGGAAAATGCAAAGGGGATATTTCAGCATAATTCCAATGGAGAGTAAACAAAGGTCAGGGATACATGGCCAGCTGTGTCACTGTGATTTAGCCGAAGGAAAATGCACATTTGCTGTAGGGTTCAGAGTTCAGTTGACCTGGTTTGTTTCCAGAGCACACAGCACTGAGATCTACTATCAGAAGAGCATTCACCTGAACCCCGCTGGACCTTCATTCTGTAGGAAGAACATGTCTACACTAGAAGAGTTACACCTGACGCAAACAGCCCCTTTAACTGCCTTCACTTTAACTTAAACCAAACTAAAACTTTAAAACTGGGGCCAGCTATAAGAAATGCTACATCTTTAGGAAATTCAAACCCTTCATAATCCAAAACTCTTCATGTTCACAATGATTAAACTAGCCAAGTAGAACAAGTCATGGACATTCCTGGTGAACCGTGTTTGAGTTTAGGAACTTTCAAGATTTGTATATTTCCTCCTCAGAATGGGCAGAACTAAGCATTTTAGGCACATGAATTAAACTGAGGTGAAAATAAAAGCTGAAAGTCCAACAGTGACAGCCAAATAGTCCCTTCTCAGCAGCACCTGCATCCCAAACTATAACGACATAAGAGAAGCTCTTTCAAGCTTGAAAAGAATACTTACAAGCAGAGACACAAGTTTTTCTAATATTTACAATCAGTTTCATATACAATTTATTGGATTTATATATTACACTTTGACTTTTCCTTTAAAATTGAAAAAATTAATCTTACATTTTTATATATAAAATAGTATTCAATTATTTAAAAATCCATACAAATGACGTTTGTTACCATGACCTGTTAAGCCCTCATCAGTGTATTTCCTCTACTGTATTTTTTGACTTCTGTAAACAAATTGTCTCATGCCCAGTGCTGGCCGCGGAGGAGAAGCACTCAGCCATGGACCTGAAGTGGCTACATGTGCTGGGACATACCCGTCACCAAGCCTCTGAGCTGCTTCACGACCGTCTCGATCAGCTTCTGTCTGTCTCGGTCGTTCTTCCGGAACTGGGCGAATATATTATTCTTCTTGCTGGTGTCCTTCATCCTACAAACACATACAAACGTAAATGCTGGAAAAGGGAGGCTGCTGCCGAGGAGTTCCTTCTTTCTTAACATGTTCTGACTTATCCAACACCAGCTCTGTGCTTGAAATGAAGACCGGTGCTATCAAACATACGGGTCTAGAGCCCACGTGCGGGAGTGAGAGCGACGGTCTGGCACTAGCACACAAGTCTAATAAGACACCAGCCTTCAAATACCGTGTTGTTGTCTAATATCAAGCCAGAAGGTTTATTAGAATACCCTACATGGGCGCTAGTACATTCACATCAAGACCACGTGAAAGTGGAAACGGCATTAGAACATTTTAAAACATACTGGTTTTGCCTCAGTAGTATTTCATGACATTATGAAACCAATTTATATAAATTGTGAAGTTTCTTACATCCTTTCAAATCAAATAACCACAAATATTTTGAAATTCGGGAAAATAACATACTAATCACATAAAACTGTACATTTTAATGTGATACTTTAAACAGACTATGACTGAGTGATACAATCATAGTGAGGGAAAAGGGCACTGTGCGTAGCTGGGTCGGCAAACCCCGCTGTCTCGCTTTTTACAACATCGTTTTCTCAACTCATGTATCTCTCTTCCTGTAAAGAATCCAAGACTTAGCTACTCCCGCGGCACACATTCCATTTCCGGGCCCTATTTTGTTTTATTTTTAAGTAGCTCCAACTCTTGTATCTGCAAGTAAACACTGTTCTCTCTCTCCAGCTGGGGGGTGGACTCAGACCCCAGCACGAAGCCTCAACAACTGTGCTATACATTCCATGCTTCCAGTAACATATTTATAAAGCAAATTGAGCCTGAGATTTTCAAGATGCATTAGGAAAAAAATGTTTTTCCTCACATATATAATCAAGATGATTCTGAAAGGCAAGATAGAGTCTTACCTTTTGTTCATCAAAACAGACTGAATTTCTCTCCTTCCCTCCCACCTTTCACTCACTATGGCCTCAGCTCCCTCAAACTCATGATCCCCCTGCTTCAGGGCTGGCACATGCCATCGCATCTGGCTGTACTGACTTTTAAAACTCCATCTAGACATTTCTCTTTTCAGAGAAATTTGTAGTTCTTTATTACTGAATCAAACCTTGTGTAAAATGCTACCTAAAATAAAAACCCAAGAACATACTCACTTCTCCAAAAGAGTAAGGGCCGTGTGTGGATTCACACGAAGGTACTTTGAAGCTGGCTGTCCATAGTCAGCTAGGTAAGTGGACCAGTCCCAAACCATAAACAAGTCAAGGAGCTGAGGAAGAGTATGAAAACATCGTGTCAGCTTTTGGACATTTACTCACATATAAATCAAGAATATGCTATTCTTGGTTCATTTGCACATGATTTTCTTTGTACAGTAAAATAAGGAAATTCATTTTAAGAACATAACTAGTGGACTTCACAATCAAAATCATATTCATTAGTTTTTATTTCAGAATTGCTAAAATTGTCAGTGGCTGCTGTTCTAATAATTTATGACATTTCCATATAATCGTATAGCATACTCTTACAATCACATTAGCACCTGCACTGATGTTTAAAGGTTTTATCCTTGTACATTACTCAGGCAGCAAGGCTCGTGCCATTCATTAACCGTGTATAGAATCGGGAAGCAGAAGTATGTTTACCTTTCAAGGAAGTTGTTTGCAGCCAGACTTTCCTAAAGTAATTTAAAGCAAAAGCTCAGATAATCTCAATGAAGTGCATTAAACAACCTCTGCTGGATTCTCCTCCGTGACAGAGCTCAGTATCACGATGAAATTCTGGCTTCAGGACTTGGCTTGTTAACTCTAGCCAATCATTTTGTGTAAACAAACAACAACAACAAAAGACATCCTTTGTTTTCCATAGTGTCTCAAAACCGACTATTTGCTTTATAAACTCCATTTAGAATCATTGTCAAATATTGTTATAATCTTTTAAAAGCAATGCCAGGCCTAACCCAAAGCATCCAACTCCTCACCCACCTTTAAAGCCCTGATCCCTTTAAGCCATTTAAAGTCAACTTCCTATTCCTTCCGCTATCTGAATTGTTTCAGAAAGCTGGATGCTTTACTTACTATTTCCTCAGTCTTTATATGCTTTTTAAAAACAGACTTCATAAATACGGCTTCTCTTGCTTTTGCTTTCCCACGAAGGAAGCATTTATATTTACTCACAGGATGTGTGTGTGTGGAACCAGTAACTCTAAGAGGAATAAAAACTTTTAAGGTGATTAAAACCACCAAAAGAAAGATTAGGAGAAACCAACTTTTTCTTGGGAAGGCGAGGGGCTGCTTGGCTCCTCTTTCTTTTCCCCCCATCAACTGTTTCGCAACTGTTATACAGACTATTGTAGAAGGTGGAAAGTGCAATAATGAAAATATGAACCACTGTTTATTTTCAGACGAGAACATTCTAGGCCATAACAGAAACTGAAACACTGTTATAGAAACGCTAATGAAACAATATAAAAAAAGATACTGTCTGACAACAGAAAGAGAACATATACATAATTTTTTATTGTTTGGTAACAACAATACATTTTCCCAAGGAACATTAATTTCATACACTCAGATGATAATAATGTGATAGACTATCATTCTGCAGTGGATTTATGAACCATAAAACAGCGATTTTCTCTGAATTGGTAATAATACTTGTAAGAGAAATTATAGGAAAAATAATAAAGGTAAACAAAAAGTTATGCACAGAGATAGTAATTTCCAACATTTTTATTAAGTTACAGAAAAAAATTAAAACAGTCTAAATCTCAATATCAAGAACCTTGTGCCTAGTGTGCATGAGGTCTAGGTTCAATGTTCAGCACTACCACAAGGAAAAAAAATGATAAACTGATTAAACAGCAAGAGAGAACTTCACAATGACTATCACACGCTTAATAAAATCATCTACATAGAATTTAAATGGCTTAGGAAGATGGGTATGTTGTCTACTGCTACTTTATTACAGAAAACCCCATAAACGGAAGAAAATTTGAAAATACGCCAATGGTGTTACTTTTATGGTGGGGTTACAAGTAACTTCTTTTCTTTATTATCATAATATTCTACAGCGGACACGCTTTAATGCTAAAATTAAAAAGAGCATTTCTACATCTGGTAACACGTACTCCATTAACCAACAGTGTCTACAGAGCTGCCAGCAGCAGTCTCACTGAAGGCCCCTCTTTCTGGTCTATGTGTGATTCTACGGATGGGGCCGTCCACACAGTCTGCAGAAAGTAACCACTATATACTGGCCGTAACAGCCCCTGCTTCAAGGGCATTAGCAAGTGACCTTTGGGAGGTGGAAGAGTCTGCAAACAAGGCTTCGCCTCTCTGGCTGAACTACCACCTCCGCATGGGGAAGAAAGAGCCTATCTACAGAGCCCCTTACAACTGGGAAGACATGGGGCCCTTCTCCAGAAAAGAAAGGCTTTCCTAAACAGAAATACTATGCTTACAATCTGTACACATGACCAGACATCATATGCAGATACTCACTGTAAATCACTAGAAATTAGAGAAAGTATAAAATTTAATGTACCTACCAGATTCTGATCTATACATTTCACATTAACATTAAATACTTTATAAAATATATATCATGTGTAATTCAGGTATTTATGGAAACCTGTGTGTTAAAGTTTAAGGAACTCAACATCAATGTTAGCTATCTAGATAAAATTTACTTAATCATTCAAGGAATGTTTATGGCCCACCTACAATGTGCTATACACCATGTTAGGTACCGGAAGATAGTATAAAAACTAGACACTGTCCCTTTCCTCAAGGAGTGTACATTATTAAGTGGTGATAAATTAACAACAAAAAAACAAATTATATTTTGATGCTAACATAAAGAAATTATTTAAAGAAAACTATTCACACAAACCCTAGTAATGTGAGCTCCACTGACACAGGAGGAAGCTCCTGTCAGCCTACTGTGTAGAAAGGTGGAAACCACACTTGCCTGCTGCTCTCTTGCCTGTCCCTCGGGTCCTGACTGTGTGGTTGTCCACTGGAGCACCACTTCAGTGTCCGTCTTAACTGATAGTGGGTATGGGTAAGGAGGAAGAGTGGGGGCAGAAAGCATGCTGATCTCATATTCAAATCTCTCCTTTACATGTGCATATGGACTCTTCAAACTCATAACGCTGCGGGACTAAGTAAATACAGGCAAAACAAAACAAAACAAACCCTGACAACGCTGGCAACTCACTCTCTTCCACCGTCTCTCCCAGGCTTTCACTGGGCTATTGATAGAGGGTGAATTCTCTCACGGTCTTGGAGCAGTAGGTGTGATAATTGATAAAATGATCTTCCACGAGAAAGCAGCTCTAGTATTCTGAATGGCTTACCAATGACGTCATCCCTAACATCCCTAACCCCCTTTTTTAAATCTTTTTTTGTTGTTGTTGTTTTATTTGTTTTTTAAGATATCATCTCGACATGTAGCCTTGGTTGGCCTGAAACTTGCTATGGAGATCAGTCTAGCCTTGGGCAGATCGACCCCTTTTAAAAGTCTATCTCTACTGAAATGAAAGGATGACACAAGACCAGGCCCTTATTCCAGGGTCCCACAAGCTTCCACACAGGCCTGTTCTGACGGAAGCAGCATACCCCTGGTTTGCTGAGGATGGCCCAGAAAGAACTTAACTGCCTTACCGTCAGACTGATAGAAAGGGAAGGGAGGTGGAGTACTTGCCAGGAAACACCAAGACTCAGTTTCACTCCACACACTGCCACTGCCCTGGGGACTGCTTCTCAGAGCTGTCCAGGTTTCATTTTTAACGGTAAAGCCCCCACTATAGAAAACATCACTTTATTTCAAGTTTTGCTTCCTTCAGATAGCAGTGAACAAACAATACATTTGTAGCAATCACATAAAATGCTTTAGTCTTGTTAAAAAACAACAACAAACCAGTAAGACATGGTCTCAACAGGTGAATTTATTAGTTAACACGGATATGCAGAGTACAAAGACAGATGGACATGAACAAAAACAAAACATCACCATGATATCCAAAAGCAACTTCACAAATGCTTATTAAAGGATAAAGTAGGGCACATGATAATGAGAATTGGTATTAAGTTCTGTAAGTGGGTTTGTTCCAAAAGCCAAGTAAAACGAATCTTCACGTCTTTTGGGGAAATAATCAAGTATGGATCACATAGAAGCCAAGCAGTGTGTTTCAGTTCCATCTCATCGTGGTCTAAAAAATCACTTGAAATTAGCATCCTCTTGTAGTAAGGATGCAGTTATCCTCCAGAACAACTGTTAAACACATCAAGTGGATTTATGCCAGTCTCTGTAAGTGAGTTCTAAGTTTTACTTCCTTAGTGCTTCCTGTGTGTCCAGCAAACAAAAGGATCAGCTTAAGGAATGAAATGATTGCTTGGGTGGTCCCATTTATATGCTCAAAATAGTTGAATCACTGAGGAATTCCTTCATGCTGACCCACTTAGCGGGCTGACAGCTTCCCATCCTATATACTGGTTCCGAATCTGTAGATTTTTCGGGGTCTCAAACCTGTTGAGATCACTTTGTGCAAATGACACAGTGAATGCAGGCAGACTTACAACCATTCTAGGGAGCTCTTAAGAGTGCCTTTTTGCCTTTGTAAAACTGAATCCACAGTGCCGGTTCATTTTTCCTTGAATCTGGTTTAGTTTTGTTTTGGGTCTTTCGGATTTTGCTTTTGAAGCACCTCAGGGGCACTGACCCAAGACAGAAGATAAATAGAGCCAAGCCAACCTCAAGAGAGAAGCAACTGGGGACACCAGGTTTGCTTTTGTGAACAGTGACCTGGGGGCTCAGGGGCAGCCTTAGTCCCCAAGTTCCCTTTTCCAAACACTAAATCCACCTGGGGCTTCAGGGTCACTTTGCAGATTCCAAAAGTAAACCAGAAGATCGTTTTTCCTTCGTCGTCCAGAAACAAAGCTGATGCAGGGTTCCTAGTGCGCTTCAGAGACAACCACAGCCAACTCCTAAGCCCACTACAACGCTGAGGCCGAAACACTTACCCTTCAAACAAATCCGCAGTAACTGGCTACTGGGAATTGAAGAAGAAAGGTCCTATTGACCTTTCCTGGAGAATATTTGTCTTTTCTAGGTAATGGCATCAAATGAGTGCCATCTGCTTTCTCAAGCACTAGACTTTCCCTTTTCTGTGAAAATACCACATTAAGAAAACTCTAGATGCAGCTTAGGAGAGAACTTTAGATAAAGCCAATATAAACTTAGTTAAAATCCATACAAGGGGTTAGG